CCACTACTACTCCTACCAACACGTTTCTTCATGCCAGATTCCCCACTACCCCTGTCCAGTGGACCAAGGAATTTCATCATATCTCCACTAGCGTCCAACCCTCCACCAGACACCAGTGACAAGGCTGACACCGCGTACCTAAGAGGGGAGGATATGAACATGGTCAACTACGTTTGTTGGTGACAATTCTGCTAAAACACATTGGAAGTTCTGTTGAGTCTTGTTTACTCGGAGTAAATTACTCCTACCAGAGCCTACTAGTAACTTTTGATAATGTGTTGAGGAAACTCCTGAGCTCAGCTGAGGAAAACATTCCTCCATTACTGCTTACTACAACAACTACCGATCAATATTGAACGCTTCCATTCAAGCACTACTTTATCCTACATATACCCCCTCCCTAGCCTCCCGTGATCATTCAGGGAGATTTACACTCTTTGCTTCGTCCCAAATCCTAATACCACACCTCCCTCAACTATTACATATAAAGCTTCTGATCAACTCCACCAGTGACTATGAGCACAGTCTTGTTCGCAGAGCTGCCCTCATCAACAACTGTCGTCGATGACATCACCATACATGCGACTGACCATAACTCCCCTCGAGATTCAGCACCTGATGGTATGAAATGAATATTGCATAAGCCACCACAGTGCAGCATTACATGTCTGAACACATATCTGTGTTCCCACACTCCACACCTTACAGGTAGTATCCTTCGATACACTCACTACATATGCTATAGATGCATCGGTAGACTCATTGTCATACAGTAGTGTCTACAGAAAACTTTTCCGCATATATTGTATCCTACTACTATTACTACCAGACCAGTGACTTGATCCTTATGACCACTAAGTCGGCACATACCAGCCTCTGCCACAACATCCCATACGATGACGTCATTATCAGCTCCACCGCTACCTAAAGGAACACACATGTACTATCCTAAGTTCAGTACACGCACGGGAATCGTCGTGAGCCAATCTCATGTACTATGGCCTTTAGCGCTATTAGGGTGGAATGAGCAACATCCACTATATACCTCCACCACCACAGGAGGCCATAACTTACAGAGTTGGAAGCCACCTCGGGAAATCTTGAGGACATTAACAGCCGATCGATGTCCTATAAAGGATACTTCCGGCACCCACATGCCTTCCACAGATCCTGGCTTGCTCTCCTCGAATGCAAATATTCGAATGTAACCTATACCATCAAAACGTGAACAACAGTCCGAAGTAACTACGTAGTAGTAGTGCTACTACTACCATCACTATATCCAACAGCCATCTTAGCGCCAGCCCAGCCATTGGCTGTAGTACTTGGTATGAACAGATCGGATAATGCAGTTACCTGAGGTGTGGTATGAGGTATTTGAAACACAATGTAGGGAGTGTACTTGAGGTGATCTCTTGTGGAGTTCATCTCGTCCCAAGGGGACCTCCATAACACCCTTAATGGTCTGAGTCTTGATATCCCATACAGTAACAGTATCGTTGGTAGGACAGAAAGCATATCGAGGGGTTGCAGCTTGAGAGGATGATAAGGTACTGGGATTGCCACTGGTTAGCACTACATTGCCTGAGACAACTACAAGTAATGATGGTATCGATCACACTCTTGAAAATTAATAATCAGATATCAATCAGATTGAATCTAGGAAGAGTAAGAGGACTTTCCAACTGCTAACTGGTGCCCCTTACTGCCAGTCTAAGCGTATTATAAAATTAATAATAACGATACCCATTCGAGTGAAAACAAAGCGAGTCGTCTACTGTGAAACTACACGAAAAGGTACACAGCTTCCACTGAACCTAGCCCGACAACAACTACGACCATTACCCAATGGCAATAATAAAGTTCGAAAACAATTTTAATATTATTCGAAAAAAGGTTAATTTTCGACTACCAGAATCAGCTATACGACGCGACCCAGCCCCCCGCATCCCAGATTGCCCGTAGTAGAAGCCTCCTTCGTATTACCTCGTTGGCTAATGATAGCTCCTAGTGTACCCTCCCCTTTGTATTTAAGATAGGCCTTGGGCATTATATACTCGACTCTCCTGCTCTGCACACAGGAATACGATAGGGCGCGCGCGGTAGAGAAATGCAGGAAGTATTACTAATTATTGCAAGAAAGTGACAGATCTTAGCGGAGCGATGCAGAACTTAGCGCTTTCCCGATGGAAAACGTACACTTGCGATAACGACCATTTTGGTGGTCAACAAAGACGTGTGGAAGTTAATAATATCATTGAATGTTGATAGGAGGAAATATCATCTACTTGCTGTCATAATGCGGTCGTATTATGTGCCTTTGCAGGGTGGTTCAAAAGTGGGCTTATTGTGAATCTTTCTACCCGATCTAAGATGTAGCCAAAGTATAGGATATACACGACCCTCCAGAGTTGGCCACTCCCGATGTCTCTGCTACTTCAAACACAACATCAGTTCTAATACTCCGTATACACATTCTGGAGCCGCTCTAAACACTCGCTGAGGGATGAAGACCAAGAGGAGTGAAGGAATCAAGAGACGAAGTCGATGGCGGCAGCCTTAGAGCAGAAGAACGTGATTGCTGTATCATGTATTGCTCGTAATTAAGGACTGTTTCAATCTGTATACACATTCTGAGGGGAGGGCGGCTTTTATATCATAACTCCGGTGCTTCCTCTTTGTAGCAGATCGATCTCTACAACATTTACTAGAGTGTCGCTCGTGCTCACTTACCTACTCTGAGGAGGCTCTTGTACCCCACTGGGTTAGGATCTTTTACTTCCCAAGATTCCATGCTGGTATCGTTATGCGTTTCGTCTACAACGCGCTCGCCCGAGCAGAACAATACAGACCGTAGTAGTGATCGAATTAAATGGTTTCTAGCAGTAGTATATCCTTATTGCATCTCCCTCATCGAGCGCTGCGTTTTAGTACAACAATATGATGCCAATAGTAGTTGTTTGGAGCAGTAGTACCTGTCCAGTGTATGGCAGCAGCTGTGGTCACCACGTCCATCCGCTCTCCCTCTACTACTACTGATGATGCTGAGGAGGAACAACAGGATGGTAAGAATAGTAGTAGTAATAACAGCAGAGCCCAAGAAGCAGGAGCAGATCCGGATATTATAGATGGCCAGTTTGTAAGCTAAGGCTCAATCTGTGTTCTCTTCTGTCCAGTTTGGTATCTTATAGATTCTCCCTGATTCCGTTATAGTCGAGTTCGAAGCGGACGATGAAGCCACTGAACCTCAAATCAAAGAGGCCGCTGCTAGACGTGAAAGGAGTACTACTTGCCATACCACACCTCCGCCTACTCATCTCGATCCTGTCTAGGCCGTAGTTCAAGTCGCCCCCGCAGACGCTCCGGCATCAGCGCTAGCCCACCACTATGTCCTCAGAGCAGGTGGTCGTGGCACTCACGCTGAACACTGAATGAGAATCCCGTGTTAGATACCTCTTGTGGAGCTGTGTTCGGAGCGACTCTGAGGCGGAACCATCTCCTGTACTGCAATAGTAAGTCCCCACTCACCACAATAACTGCTCACATCTTCTTCTCCTCGACCTCAGTAGTCGTAAGGATCCCGATTCTTCGTCATCAACTGTTGGTGCCTACAACATGCCTCCACCATGGCTTGGCTCTACAAGTGGTAACGCGGCGGCTAGGGAGGCAGTGGAGCTACTCAAGGTCTGCTCCCTTTTCATGCTATATAGAGATATGCTTATTACAGGCTAAACAGAAGTCACGGTCAAAGCATGCGGTCGACAAAGCTAATGGTATTCCCGCACAAGAAGTTGGTGACACGGCAAATGAGAATCACCATGCACCGGTGAGTGTGTTGAAGAATAGGAGGCGGAGACGAGGTCGTCAAGTAGGCTTGAATGTGGCTGGTGCGCTGTGATGGTCGACGCAGGTTCAGCAAGGGGCAGGAGGAATAGAAGAGCAAGCCGCTTGTGACAACGCCACTAATGGCGAGAATAAGATTAATACTGACAATGAACCAACGCCTCGACAGGAGACTCCTGTTGTTGCGGAAGGTGCGGTATCGAATTATCCCCAATCGGATGGACATAGTGTAGGTGATACTGACAAAGCAACTGAGGTAGTTGAGGAGGAGGTGGCCAAGGTTGAAGTAGTTGAAGAAAAGGCAAAGGAAGGAACTCCACTGTTCGACACTTTCACGATTTGGTAGTTCTCGAATCGGGCAATAATTGTCTCATAGACGGGTCTGGGTTAGGTACGATCCTGGGGTGAGCGGCGGCGGCGCTTCATGCAAGCCAGCTGGACCGCGAGATTCCGAGGAGTATACTCGGGGCCTCATACGTCTGGGTAGGCCACACTGTCGTCTGCCCTGTCAAGACAACATCTTTATTGGGGATCTTAGGTGATGTTGACACTGTTGAGGGGTTCTGGCAGTTCTGGAACTCAATCGACCTCATGAAGTTGCCTAAGTTCAGCACTATATCTGTTTTTAAGAATGGTATTCAGCCCGCATGGGAGGACGAACACAATCAGTACGAACGCAACACGCCGCTGTATCAGGAGGCATCCTTTCCTCGTCATTCAGGGAGGGTGGCCGCTGGGTTGTTAAAGGCCTCTGTCGATCGGATAGTAAGGAGTACTACTCCACGTGTGTCCTGGCCTTATTGGGAAATCTATTCACGGCTCCTCAGAAGATGGTGACACGATTGGATACAGGAAATTGCCACTGATTATTGTTGCCTTCAGAACGGTATTGTACTATCAGTTCGACCCAGGGGCAATTCCATAGCTCTCTGGAACACTATGGTTGACCCCGAGTTGTTCGAGGTAGGCTTCGTAGTAATGGCAGTAATTGCAGTGACGTTCGAATAGGTCATAGACTGGGAGCTACGTTCCATCGCCCCTGAGGACATGCAAGAAACGGTTGAGGTGGAGTATAGGGACCACAGAGGAGCTATAAATCACAACATGAGAAAGCTTGGTAGCACTTGGGTTTTTCCAGCAGTGGTCGTATAACGGGATCGGTTTTGATCGTATCGAATTGTGTATCCGAACTTGTCATCAGAGGAATCTTAGTCATTCTTGGAATTGCCGGGTCGCGACTAATCTGATGATGGTGTTGCTATTCAGGGAGCGGTGCTTCTCATTGGCGGCTATGCACTGGTATGGAGAACGCCGTTGGTTCAATGATGATGACACCATCATCCAACGAGGATATCACATGTCCCGACACTTTATACGATCCTTACACTACGCCCAAGGCGGCTGCCTATTACCCTCATGCTGAGTTCAACGCAGATGCCCCCGAGTTCTGTCCGGGTAGCGCTGGCTGCGGTCAACTGACAGGTCTATCAACTGATACTGGATCGAGCAACAGCTTTTATATGGAGACGCCCGTATGGGATCATTCCGCTATGTATTGGGAAGGAGAGTACAATGAGGAGGGGGTCCCCTTGCATGGAGAGGAGGGTTACTATTATGTCGATGATCAATGGATGATGGGAGATGACGAGGCTGAGGAGGACCAAGAGGGGGACGAGCATGTCGACGATGAAGGTATTCCGAGTAAGATGCCGACAGCACTAGGACATGAGCGGAACGATGCTATCGAAGTTTGAACGTATTGTACATATTGTATATATTATGGACGTCTCGTATCTTCATCAGTCTTTCAGTACAGAACCAATCTAATCTTGAGTTCGGCTCACTGACAGTGAACTCCTATCTTTTAAGAGTTAATTTGGGGTGGTCTGAACAGGTCGCATGGCACCAGATTTTTGACAGAGGGAAAGTCCTAGCTGATCAGTCATTGGCTTTCCTAACTCGAATGGCATACCGCTCTTTCCCCTGTTAACTTCGTTTTGCTTCGTTTACCATGACCATGCCCTTTCACGAGTATAGAGAGCGATTATCAGCATAGCAGAGGCATTGAGGGAGAAGACAAATTATAATTCGAATGGACGCCATAAGCCCCAGAAAGACGTCAATCGCTGGGAGAACGGAATTTGGCGTTGCGTTTGGCTGTGGGACGACATTCTTCCGTGAATCATATTCTTACGCAAGACGGTTCCGACTGAGGAAATTCGGTTAGACAAAATATCACGTGTTCTTTTCAAGTTTTAACATGTGCGAGGAATGCGAAGACGCATAGGACACAGAGCTGACATACAGACGCTCATGCAGAGATCTGACGAAATGACTGAGCCCCGCCATTCTTTACGATTCAGTCTGCCTATCATACTGGAGTTGAAGCAGAATGCACGGGTGAAGGTTACTTGCGAAGGTTACTACTTCAACCCGTCTGTGAAGGGACAGATACACGTCAGATCGACATCTTGCGAGTGCAGTACGATGCTTAATGACGTTCTACAAGACGCCACGTTATACGCTAGCTTCACCATGAACTGAAGTGCGAACTGAACCAGTCCTTGGAACTTCCAAGTTGGAAGTGGAAAGTGCGATATAATAATGATTAACTCATAAACAAAAGGCCACTTTCAATTTACGTGTGAATCTAGTTTAATCAAAAAAAGAGTCTTTTAGTTTAATCAATATCCTTCACTCTCTACTCTATAAACTCCTCCCACACGACTTGGAACCCTCAATGACCTGTAAGAACATGTCCAGGTCAACAGCATTATTTCCCTCAGACTCGCACGCAGAAACAGCAGACACCTCTGAGATGCATATCGCAAAGCTCACTTACGATCGTTAGAAGGAGGTAGTAGTGCGAAGCTTGGAGCAACTACACGGTTGCATAGGAGTCAACCAAATCGAGCATCTGCTCTTGAACGTTCTCCTGAAGAAAATGATGAATAACTCGGACACACAGCATACATGAATTAACCGTCTGCAAATACTGATCAAACTAGCTCTATGATGGAGAACTCATCATTACTGTGAATGAGTTATCAAGGAGCGACACACTTGTTAGATCTGATTCGTCCAAGACATACATCAATATCAATGAGTCCCCATTCGACAGCAATCAGCAGAGGGAACCAGGCATCAGCCGCAGCATAACGAATTTGACTCTTCCTCAGACGTCCACTCCACTGATGGAAATTCGGGTAACTGATGAAAGGTAGACCACCTTTGCTACCTCGACTATACAAGAGCATGGTAACTCACGTAGGTTTGAAAATGTTGAACTGAAGGTCGCGGCAAATAGCCTTCAACCCAGTCTTGTGCATCCCTTGTCTCTGAGCCTCTTTAGACACGTCAACGAGAGATCGTGGGGGAATTTCAATGCCAAAACTCTCCATTAATTTCTTCTTATCGCGACTATCGAAACCACAGACAACTTTGACGGTGTTCTGAATATACAGTTATGGCTACGAATTGCACTCAAAGACGATCACTCACGGGGCATGTGAGAGCATCGCGAAGTATAGGATGGAGATCCTCGCCAGGTCTACAACGGAAAAGTAAAACTCCATTGGTTGGAGTGGCGACTTGAATCTGATGGGAAGTCACAATGGAACGTCATTGACAAGGAGAGGTGTCTACCAAAGCAATCGGGTTGTTCTGTCCTTTGAACTCTCTGTTCCACTCGAAGTCTAAACCCAAAGGCTCTCTGAACCTGTTAAAAGAGGGTACACGAATGATGATGAAGAGCGGCCACATGCCCACAAGATATTCCTGCAGAATTCGTAGAGATCATCAGGACCATCTACGATTTGAATGTCGCCGACGTAAGTATCAGTGGACATACTTTGGCGATTTAGAGGACAAGACAACAACAGACTGCAACAATTACAAAGCTTCAACGAACAATGACATGATATCAAGGAGGTGCACACAAAACCTTATTCAACTCCAGGCTGAACAGAACAGCTCGAATTACAAGCTCTTACACCATAGCTTTGATGAAGCATGAATGGAGACAACCACAACTACAGCAGATAATCAGCAGCACAGCACACGTCTCTCGAAGATGAGTCCTCCACAACGCACGACGACTACTGCTAGCCTACCGCAAAGTGTAATACGCCTGTTGCCTCCTATGGATCTGACACGAAGGAAATGACCAATGCGCTATCGCCGTGTCACCATCAGTGGTATATACCATGCATACATTGCATTAAAAACGACATTTACTGGGGTAGTCTCGCCTCAAACAGACCAAATTTTGGTCTGCCTGGTTTTGGTCACCAAAACAATCGATAGTAATGCAAAAGTAATCAACGGTGAAACTAGCAGTACTGAGCTAGTGCCAGCGTGCTCAAGGTGTTACTCGTAAACTACGAAAATTGTCATACGAAAATCCGCACTCAATTTCCTTACTATGGAGTTGTCTCAACCACTGCGAAATCACATACGGAGTGTTTACGCACTATGATGGTCACGAGTAATGCAGCCTCCCTAGTTACACTAGCGGCAACGACAAGGAGGGCCTGACAGCAAAGCCTCCCAAGTCCTTCCTACCATCGTCTATGACGTAACAATGTACAATCCCCATCATCTTCAGCCCCATCGTCAACAGTACTCTTCACATCTACCGTTACATCACTCCGAAGGGCGTGCGAAAACTCAAAGAATCATACATACAGTTACTAAGACAACAGGTGCACACAAAGGTATCCTAAGAGAGCACTCCGACACAATTCTAGCCAGATCGGTCACGGGGCGTCTCCGAGTCAGCTTTCTGCTCGGGTGCAACGTGCCTGTCGACTCGCGACACTAACGATGGATCATCGTACTCTGAACCCCGCTTGAAAATTTTTTTCATTCGTCCCGTTGTACATGCCTCCCCAAAATCGTCGTCCACGGATCTCATCAAATTCACACTGGAAACCAGCACTCACAAACAGACGGTGTTGCCAGTCTCTCGTACGTGTTGAACATGTCGACTCGGCCTTTTCATTGAAGACGTGAAATTATCGGCGTTGAAAATCTCAAGCTTGTCAGAAAGATGCAACCATAATACATACACTAGTAGCAGTTAACAATCCTATGCGTGTCGGATCGAGTCAGCTCCTCAGCGATATGCTTTCCAATGAACTCTACTGGAAAAGAGGCTGAGGCTCCTGGTGCACGTCGTGGAGCACTTCGCTCCGCTGTGCTCGAGACGAGACGATTCCAACATGAAATGTATGGATTTGAGACATCTTCCTCATCTGTTGAGTCCCATGTCTACTAACTCTCCCAACTAGCATGACAGCGCCATCCGAGCTAGAGGGGGACTCGTCTGTTGTGACCTTCGGATTGACTCGGGGGCTCGTATCTCGCCAAGCTTCATATCTGACCAGTAGATGTTCTCTCCCCATAAGAGTACTCGAGAAGTCTACTCCGACACTGAGCGGAGAAACAGAAGAAAACGCCATTTACAGACTCCGACGGAATCATTCCGTGACTGCCAGTTTCACCAAGGGCCGAATCCGCGGCTCACAGACCCGACTCTGAGCCAACTGAGCTTGCCTGGCACGAATTTCAAGGAATCTCTCAAGTATGTCACTGGTAACAGGAGCGGTAATGCGTGAATGAGGAGCGATTGAGCAGTGTGGGAAAATATGCACATGGTCAACTGTGAGTGTTGCGGACAATATGGAACTTTCAAGGAAATTCCAAGAAATTCTTATTGGTTTCTGTACACTTCTACACAAATTCGTGAGTAAACTTCAATAATTGGTGAGGAAACTACTGGACTCAGCTGACGAAAGCGAACATATTTTCCAACACTGTGATTAAGCTGCACAACAGGAGTGAAGACAGATGCTAGACACACAACTATCTCAACACGTGTCATGGTCTATGAACTTCTACCATGAATCGAGAGAAGAGCTCCCGCTCCTGCAGTTTGTCACGCAGGAACTCGGATGGCGAGCCCAGCATGGTGACGGTGACATCAGTGCTCTTCAGTTCCTTCGAAATGCGCATGTCCGCGTCAAACGCCAATTGCTCTATCTCGCCACTAAGCTCGTTCATACACTTCCTTGGGGAGCAGCAGTAGACCCGGTTGTCTATGCGAGAAGGCACCCCTCGACACAGTCGGATTTTCTGTGCGAATTCAAGAGTCGCGGACGTTTCCCCAAAGTCAGCCGGGCTGCCAGATAGAGGTACCAGGACAAGAGCTTGACCTATCAAGCTGATGATGATGAGCTCCATCCGTCCGTAACGATGCTTACCTCCACACCCTAGACCAGCCTGGCAAAGCTTCGTCAACTTGGAGTCTCTCCAACCAGCAACGACTCTGTTGTCTTTGGAGTGGCCGCGTAACTCAGAGGACAACACGGTGATAATTTTATGGAATGCCTTTAAGGTTAAGTCGTCTCGTCTGGCGTCATTGCCTCCTGGAACGGTTATTTCCACCAATAGTGACATCTACGGCCTCACCACGGGTCCGTCGCGATTGACCACCACTGATGGAGGGTGCTACAGAGAGGATACCTGCTACTATCCGATAGCTAAGCTACCTCTGCCGTGCTCGGAGCCAGCCAAGTCTAGGAAGTGCAATTTGCACATACGGTGATCCCTCTGACCATCCCCAAACCTGTTAGGGATGATCACAGGGGACGAATTCCGAGTTACGGCATAGTACAGCAAAGTGAATGTCGCTAGTGAATGCGATCGGGCGTCATTCTTCCTCGTGCCTCCGGACAAGAATGTTCCCGCACTTTGCACGTTTTGTCGAGCGCGAAACACTACATCCTGCACGACACACAGACGATCATAGGGATAGCTTCATAGTGCTGGAGATTGCCAATCATGAGGTTAAGCCATCAACGACTACCGCATAGCTATCAGGATCATGCATGAAATACCAGGTCAGCGTTGAAGATACGCGGCACCTCCACTCGTTCCCATAGGCATATTGGTTGTAACACAGTCTGGCGAATAGATATCGATTCCGATTGCCTGTCACTTAGAGGAGGTTTGACTATTCTATTCAGTCCGGCAACCGTTATAACTACTGAAAAGACAGTTGTTGCGTCGCCTCGCAAGATCATTAGTACAAGCCGACAGGAGAGTGAAGTCACTGGACAAGGCAGAGAGGCCAGCACACTGGACCACATGACAATTCATTTCCCACGAGGGCCAACTATTCTGCCTCACTTCAATGTCCATCTCGGAGTATATGATCTCCGAGCTCGCGTCTCCCTCAAGAATAAAACCATCAAATGGTCCCTTATCTCGAACGCGGAGCGAGGTGTTGAAGTCTGGTGACACGAGGCAGTCAGCCAGCAACTCCGTTCGTACACCTGCCATACGTATACCATGATAATAGTAGGAGCAGTCGGAGCCAACTGCATCCCATGACTTCGACCACGGACAATCAAGTGTGGTGTGAGTTCGATGAGAAACGGATCAGGATAACTGCTGGGAGACAATCCTTCCATTTTTCGATGAGATTTTCCTCTGCAATGAACTTGTTTCTGGTTTTCATATCTTTCGCGCGTCTCAATCGTCTGTAGATACCAGCTTTGACGATCCTCATTTCCGTGCGCTGCAGTGATGAGTCCTTCTGAGCGGCCGCTAACGCCGTTCGACAACACAACCTTGACCACGCAGTGAGCGACCCAACGCCAACACTGACCTTACGCTATAATGCCTGGTTGTTTGTCGCGAGAGGACCCCCACATTTGGAGGGAACCTCCCGGACTGCCTCGAAGACCTGTGTAAACTATTGTGACTTCTCCGCCTCGATCAATTGCATTTTCTATCACTTGCTGAAGCGATGCAGGCAATCCTGATCACAACCCTCTCACGGCCACACAGAGAACAGGCAAGGTGAGTGGATAAGATTCACAACAGTCTCTGGATGAGAGACGGCGTGACGCAATAAACTTCTCAATTCCATAGCAAGCCGACAGCTTCGCACAAAATTCACAATTGATCGCAGCTGGAATCCCCTGAGTGACAAGGCTGACACTCGGGAGGCTTCTACTGCTCACGCACGACGAGCTTTCGGGCTTTAGCAATTCGAATCACTGGTGGAATCGTAAAGTTGTATTCCACTGTCTCATCCGCCGCTGGTAGCGGCTATTGGCGTATCGTGGTTGTGCAAAATCTTGAGTGATGAAACAAGCACGAGCGGCGCACTTAGTCAAGCGTCCTGGGCCCTCACACTCTTTCCCTTGTGACGATGAGAGAGCTAAATTCATCGCTCAGGATAAAGGCGTGATATCGGACAGGATACACATCGGTTTGGAAACACGGGGAGAACGTAACAAACTGAACCCGATGTATCGCGAGTCGGGATTCCTGACCGCTGGAGGCACACCCCCTATATACTTGCGCAAATATGCAACTATAAGTGATAAATTTCACGCCAAAAACTCTACAGTAGCAAAAATCGGCGAGCGAGTCATTCGTTGGGTTCGAGGCCGAGTACGGCTTGTGATGCGAAAACTGACTCACTTGCTCGTTGAGGGTTACCGACATCATCCTCCATGAAGATGATATCGTCTAATGCGTAAGTGCGGGGCTTTAATGCTGTCGATTGTGGCCTTCTAATCGTCACACACTTCTCTGATGAAGGAGAACGCAACTATTCAAAATCTCCGATTGGCACCATCGGAGACTGCTCCACTAAGTTTTGGAATATATATGTTCGCTTTCCTCCGCTGAGCTTTAATCATAGGAGTTTACGTACGAACTCGGGCAGAAGTATGCATAAACCAATGAGAACATCCAGAAATTCTTCCAGAATTTTCATATCGTCACCAACACACGTAGTTGACCATGTGCATATTTCCCACACTGGCTCCACCTACCGCCAGTGGTTCGACTCATGCCAAGCGAACAAGCACCCCCTGCTAGTGGTCGACAATCAAAGACACCAACACACATGAAGTCCCGGTCCGCCACCTGAACAGAGATACTCGCTAGGCTTGAACTTACCGCTCCAACGCGAAATCAGTCAGTTGCTATTCAAAGGACATATCTCACTACTTTTATCTCACCCTTGTGTCATGCTTGACCTCATCTGTTGTTGTCGCCATTTCCGTGCCTTTTTTTGGGTCTTCAGCCACAGTCGTACTATGGAGGAATGTCATTGATCATTCTCTACTATATATCACGGTCAAGGCACCCAGACGCTCTAGGCCGATTGAAAAGAAGCACCTCTCGCGAATGGCTCCTCTCCTGTAGAAGGCTCTAGATGCTGAGCTGTCTCTAATTTTGGTGTGCTCTTGCATATCCTCTAACTTGGCGTGTATTACAAAATTTCGACTTATCATTTCCAGTATAGTTTCAACGACTCCAGCTCAGTCTTGCATATTCAATACCAAATCTGCTTGGAACAATACCATGATCGGCTGATGTTCACTTATCAAAGGCTGACAACGACAACGACGTCCGATAATAACGGCTCTTCTCCTGCGAGGGAAAATCCAACGCAGAAGAGATTCGCCACGCCATGTTGGTAAACGAAACAAGACAGGATGATCCCGATCGACATATGCTGGAAACACTAATCATACCAAAAAGCATTCATAATAATAAGTAGTCAAAATGCTAGTAATTTACAAGTGAACCATTGGGTCGACCACTGGACTAAACCTTCTTAGCAAAATTATTCAGCGCGTGCCATAAATGAAGGTCTCATGAATGACGGTGAAAAACGCCTCCCCACTTGAGGAAGAGGGCTCGCCTCCTGTTCATCACCAAACAAACACATATCATCACTGATAGAACCAGGCACGCCACTACACCAGAAGCTGGGAATACCTGAGCCTACAGCCAATGCTAACTATCTGGGAAAATATGCACGTGGCGATGACAATATCAAACAATTTCAAGGGATTTTTTATTCCTAAACACTCCTACCCGAATTCGTATGAGAACTCCTATAATTAGCGAGAAAACTCCTGAGCCCAGCTAAGGGGAACAAACCATATAGTTTTATATCACATATCACCATATAGATATATTCCAATACTGCTAATTACTCCCCAAACAAGTCCGAATAGAGTAAGTCATTCGAACGTCTACGGTAGGACCTCACCTCAGCGTAATTGCTCTGCAAGTTTCCAGCAGTTTCCTGCTGTTCTGAGCCACCGACGAAGTAAGATTCCCTCAGAAAAATGTACACCTGATTTTCATCAAAAGCCCCGACAGTTCTGCACTGTGGGCATTCATCCTTAGTAGGCCACGTCGTGTCCTTCCCTGTGATGCCCTTCTCTCGTGAAGTCCTATCATTGACCATATTATGAAAACGCCAGAGCCACAGCGCGGTATGCTTCCTATCAGGGTTGACCATATCACACCGCCCAGCAACACACTTGTCATAGCCCTCAATGAAGTGCTTTCGACAGCGGTCACATTGGAAGAACTCAGCGACGATGGCTCTAATACAGGCCATAACAGCACTGTTTGTTCTACCACCACTAACTGTTGCCATAAATCCACCACCACTTTGATCGGCACGGAAATCACCCAGCGTCAGACCATGCAGGAACTGCCAAAGGCCACAGTTGAGATTCCTGCAGTGTTTCCAGTGCTTGTCCGGGTACAATCGTAAATCCTTCGAGAAGAGCAAGTCAAGTCCCCTACGCCAAATTCCTTCGTCAACATCAGCCGACGTGTTAATGAGGTCAAGCATGCGTTTACTCACTCGCCGAAAGGCTGGGTCAGGATATGAAGCCGTGACCACCGGCAAAATTTTTTCTCTCAATACTCGTATTTTCTCACTAAAAAGTGTTCCTCTGCCACTTGACGGAACCACAGTCTCCAAGAGATTAGCAAATGCAAGCCGGCCATCAAAGAGCCTCATCGCAGCAGTGACTCCGGCTTCCCTCGAGAAGATACTCTCACCGTGCATCATCATCACGACTGAGTTATACTCGTCAACTTCGGGTAAAGGCGACTTGGTCTGATAGGCAGACTGATCAGTGGGAACCGCAACCACAGGAGACAGGCCAAGACTCCCGCGAGCGAAGCCCTCAAGATCTTCCGCAAGATCATAGGTTGATACTTCAGTACCGTTCTTGAAGTGTTTCAAGGTCGGAAACCCCTGCACATGCAAAGATCGACACAGAGCCGGATAGGCCGCGCAGTCAACAGCAGCTAACCTCGACTGCCCTTCCTCATCGAAGGCATCGTTCCCAAGGGCCTCTGCGAGAGCCTTATATTTGGGAGAAAACTGGACACAATGACCGCACCAATGTGCGTACAAGAGAACCAGCTTACTGCAACCGGTTGCCACAAATCGGTGGAATTCCGTGTCGGATAACTCCAATATTTTCGAGCCAGATTCCGTAAACAATTGTTGAGCACCGATCACCGGTAGAGATGCAAGAAGACACAGAGTCGTCAGAGGACATACATAACATGGCGTCCTCGGACACCGTCCCGAAAACATTGACAAAACAAAACTAACTTCCACAAGGTTCAGATTCTGCAAGCTCCTAGCGATAATAGAAACACGCCGTCCATTCCCCGGAAGAAAACGTGATCGATCATAATTTTTAACATGTGCCCTTCACAACATAACAAAAACCAAACGAACAACCATTGACAATTTTACCCATCTGGTGGTCACCTCAAAAAAGAAGATGAGATCGACCGTGTTGACTCAACTCAACCACAGGATAGAGTTCAAAACAAATGCAACGAGCCGAGGGTGACACCTAAGTAGCTGCCGCGTCACCACAGTCATCAGCTGTGGCACCGGGTGGCACCCCAGCCAAGGCGTCCTTCGTGTCCATCGCCAACAGTTCTCTCTCAAGCCTCACCTTCACCAATTCCGCCTGCTTCAGGGCTATCTCCAACTCAGATTTCTTATCGAGCAACTTCTCGAGCGAGACATGACCTCTGCCGTCCACCCAGGAACCGTCCAATACATGCTCTGCCGAAGACGTCGATTCCGAATCATAGTTGTAATCTAAAAACGCCAGCAAAATCGATCATCTGGGCGAGCGCCACTGCCCCATCATAACCCACCACGAGTCGTACGGGAGCTCCTTCTCCTTCGGCTGGTCGAGGTCCGCCCCCGAGCCGGGCTGCCGTCAATACTTGACGGCACTGAGGTTGGATGCCAATTCAGGTACTCCCGAGTGAGAACATTGTGCCAGTGGTCCGGCGGATATTTATCCCCTCCTCCACGACGAACACGTTCGACCAAACAGGTTATTCGACGTTTGATTTCAAGTGTACCTGTGGAGAGATCAAGCTGGATTAGTTCAACACAGATGAGCGTGATGAATAGATGCACCCGGGTTCGATCCCTGGCGGCCTCACTTTTAGGTTGAGCATTTGGAAATCTTCTGTTCATCGCAGCTGCTATCATCTGATAGATCTTGTTGCGAGTCCTCACCATACCCTCGAATTTCCCTCTCAGTTGGGCACTGAAGAAAGTCACCAAAATTCGACTCTTTTCTAAAGGCCAGCAATAGCAGCGTCGTCGTCAACAGGGCTGAAAACCCCATCGGGTCACTGTGACTGAGTACCCTATCAATGGAGTATTCAACGATATTCGACTAAGTCGAAGCGAGCACGATACCGCCGCCCTCTTTCCTCTACCGATGTTTTGTCATCTGATCCACCAAAAAGATATTCTCCTCTTCAGTGTAGTCACCGGGAGGCACGGGTGTAACAGTAAGGGCTGAGAGGATGTCAATGGTGGACAAGAGCCTTCAACCGAGCGGGACAGTCAATGCTAATCCAGATATAGGAATTCCAAACTGATGCAAATCCTAATACAACCCAAATCGAGAGTGACTGGCGACCCGAAAGTGACACCAGAATGGAAGACGGAAAACTACTTATGAGCAACCCTCGAATCAAAAACCTTAGATGTATACGATACTGCTCTTTATGCTGGGCATTACCCAGTAGTAAGTCCCGCATACTCTGCAAATAAGTGCATGCTTATATTTAATAGCACATGGCTCATTCATCGAGCGATAGCATATCCACATATACAGCAGTCCAACAGTTTCCTCAAGTTCGCAATAGAAGAGCCCCAGCCCCTTACATCTCATGAAAGCCTCATCCATCGCTCTAGCATCCTCTTCACTGCCATTCTTCCCACTACCACCTGGTGATGATGTCAACCCACCTTGAGCATAGCTGGACTGTTGTTGTTGTTGCTGCTGCTGGAGTAGCACAGCTGCAGCAGCGATAGCAGCGGCCGAGGAGGGTCCACTAGTAGACGGGGGAGGCGACGTCACATCTGCTTGTGCCGCCGAAGACAGGGCGCCGAGACCCTGTGTGGGATCCGGGGCGCCGGACATTAGAGCTGCGTTAGATGAACAGATCTACAACATCATCAGTCCACCCATCCCCTCATAGGAATACACCGCTGATCACGAGAAAAGTAATCCACGCTTCGCTCCGCCATTGAAAATGGCGAATGAACACACACATGACATAATAATCACAACTTGCTCTGTCCTCTGTCCTCTGCCAATCTGCGTTGCGGCAAATTGAAGACCCTTTGAGCGTTGGTGGTTAGGAAACGATCCTTGATCTCTGACGGTAAGCCTAGCTCGTGCACCTGCTGCATGCACTTCTTCAAATCAAGCTGAGGGAAGTTGGTGCCAAACATAACCTAACATGAGGGAAATATGTCACTGTAGTGATTTACAATTAGTGCGACAATCTGTGACTCGTGGACACCAAGCATGAATGTTCGAGACAAATTACTTCAACCACTCACCTTCTTGAAACCAGACTTAGAACACATATAGGCTAGCAGATCTTTGCCATACATCTTTGGGAGGTATGCGCTCGTGTCAAGATATATATTATCATGCTTCCACATCACTGACATCATCTCGCTTAACCAGGGATGTCCAATATGTCCACAAACAATACGTAGCTGCCAAGAAAAGATGTCGCCGATGAGATTCGAACCCGGGATCTTCCCCACCTCGGGGAAGTGGAGAGCGACTCTATCGATGTATGGTATCGGCCTACCAGTGTCGCTGGGCCGTGCTGGACCTGTATGACCAACCTGATACAACCAGTAAGACATCAGGGTATGACCACTATATTAGAAACGTCTAATGTGAGGATCGAACCCGCGTATCCGTCACTACCTGTGTACACAAGGGAACTCCCAGTTCAACGCACTTCAAGTAAATAGGATAGTAAGTCTCGTGGGTCGGCGGTCTATCCCAAAGCCATGGCATTATACGAACTCCTGTGAATCGGTACCATGCACCTCAAGAGGAGCGACCTACCGACGAAGCCATCCTCTTTGACCGCCTTTTCGATAGCCCTAGCTGCTTGAACGGGCCTGTCCAAGTCGACTGCAGCGAGGCCTACAACATGAGACCGTCCCCGCAGCAGCGACCGATATCGCAAAATCTCTGTTGGTGATCAGCACATAACGTCTCAGAATCTACTCACACGACCGTGATGATAGGGACGTACCGAAGAATCTATCAGATGCTGCCTTCGTAAAGCTGAGCACTCTGCTATTACTAACAGCTTCAATGCCCCCAGGCCTCACCCAAGCGGATAAAAGCATCTAACAAGACAGCCCTCCGAGACAAGCCGACCACTCGTTAACATTATCGCCAAGTATTTGAGCTGATCTCACCAATAGTAATGGAGTTAGCAATATGATATTCTCGTTGAAATACTACAAGACTCCAAAGTAAATCACGAAGTCCCTCCGTTATCGACTTCAGCGTAGTAGCTTACCACTATTAGTGCTTTATAGTTCTAAAATAGTGCTAGTCTCAAGCTGCTGTGATACAAACAGTGGTGTGGATAGTACTAGTACTGATGTCATACTCGTCTAGAAAGTAAACCATTTGAGAGTAGTAGTACTACTCCGGAGTCGTTAAGTTAGTATTACTATAGAACTATAAAGCTGATAACGCTATAGAGTATTACTATAATATCCTACTATAATGATAAGTAGTAGTAGGGTCAGTACTGAACATAGTACAAGAGACTACATCACTATCATCAGTCGACGGGTCAAAGCGTAAAGGATGACCGCACTTTTTCATGTTTGCTGCAGTAAGTTCGGAATATTCACACGGGGCGGCTATGCCATACCAAGGTATGCCTCACAACGACCAACGTTTTCCGATGGGGCGGCTATGCCATACCAAGATATGCCTCAGAACGACCAATGTCTTCCGATGGGGCAGCTATGCCATACCAAGGTATGCCTCAGAACGACCAATGTCTTCCGATGGGGCGGCTATGCCATACCAAGATATGCCTCAGAACGACAAATGTCTTCCCATGGGGCGCCTATGCCACGGCAGTATATGCCTCAGTCAGACCAAATTCTCTAGATGGGGCGGCTATGGCACAGCAATATATTCCTCAGTGAGACCGAATTCTCTAAATGGGGCAGCTATGCCACGACCTCTTCCAGTATTGAAACCAACTCACCTGATCGATGCCGGCCTCATCTAGCATCCCCAACAGCCTCGTAGGAGTCAAAGGAGTGTCTCCCCTAAGGACGGCAATTTCGTGGCGCAGTGACAAAAAACTCAGTGACCAATTTCAGTAGCCCTACCATTGGACCATCGGGGAATGCGATCTCTCGAAGAGTTTGACGGCTTCTGGTACTAAGTGCCGCAAGGCACTATCAGCAGGCTGAGCCCATACATCCACAACCATCACAAATCCTCTCCCCAAGTAGTATTAAAACTTCACACACAAGACTAGAAATTAATCATCTACAGTGTATTGTGCAAGCGGTAGTTCACTACAACAACTATTATCATCACCAAAGCAACTTAACCAACAAAACTCGCCAAGATGATGAGTGAACTCACCGAGCACACGGTAGAAAGTAATATGTACAGGAGACTACATAAAAGTAATTACCGCGACCCTTCACCACCAAACGACAGCAGTCATGCTGGACTCAACGTCTCTTGATATGGCCACTATGATTATGACCTTTACGACCGCCACTCTGAACAGCCGAATCATTCACAGATGTGGGAGTTACACTATTCACGTTGCCCTTCACTGCCTTACAAACCTTCTTATGATCCTTCCAACCTTTCTTCTGACAGGTCACTCCGCAGTATACGGCGTTTTTACACGGACATTGCGCCATATGCCGATACACTTTTGAACACGTATTGCAGGCTGCGGGACTTTTACTGAATCCAGCCTTCCTGAAGAAAGTCTGATACTTCTCTGCCATTCCCGGAGCCAATGTATGGAGGTCTGAATAGCCACCAAGCTGGAGTTCCTCTTGTTGTTCTTCAGGAACTTCAGTCTCCAAACCACGCTCAGTCGTGCCGACTCTAATAATCATACAAGTCATATTGTCCTTGGAATCCAGTAGGTTGAGACAACGTTGTAATATTTCAGCGGCAACCTCAGCCAGATCCTCCCCAGCATGAGCGCGTACCATAACTTCTCGTGCGACGTCCTCGTTGGACATAACGTCAAACACACCATCACAAGCCAATACTACCCAGTCGCCAGCTTCAACGATAACTTCACTAACATCAGGCACAGCAATGCACTTTTGCTTATCAGCTGGAAGATCCGCGTCGTCTTTATACGCGAAGTCGCCAAGGCCTCTGGATAGGGCCAACACACCACAAAGCCGAGGTGGTTCGTCTGTGCTCACAAAACCACCAGCTTCCTCAATCCGAGCCTTTTCCTCGGGATCGTCAGGTTTATGGTCCTTAGTGGCCAGCAAAATTCCGACGTCAGCGTCAGTGAGAGACGCTAGATTCTTCTTTGAGCCCAGCATGTCCCCTCCACCGAATATCCCCTTATCACCGCTAGCCTCAGTGCTATCATCATTGCATAGCTGCTTCGTTACGTCCTCTTGAGCATTCTCCAACTTAGTCATGTCAACGTTCTTACCCGAGAATACCAATGCGCGGGAATCACCAGCGTTCATGAGGCGAACCTTGTATTTTCCGTTGCCAAGAGGCGTCACCTGAGCACAGTCTACGATAAAGAGCTTCCCTATACGAATTTAATCATGTATGCGGCAAAAGCCAATGGCAAGCTGACTAGTGTCAACATTATGATAGTTACCCAATTATAACACTCGAATTTCATGTTCAAACAGCTGCCAAACGTAGATTTCTAGACTGAGAAATTCTATAAAAATTCGACTTCGAGCTAAGCGGAAGTGAATCATCGATGGACACATTCATTGTACTCCACTTTTGTTAAAACCTTTTACACTGCAGGAAGCATTTACATCTATACACTGCGTTACACAGTACTACGATCCTTCTACTGTATAGAACTACGATCACAATAGAGATCCCCTTAGTCCTACAATGGAAGCCACAACAACAGCGCCGGCCTCAGAATGAGTCTCTCTCAGCGCCTGATCAGTGGCTAAGAAACCGGCCTGTACGCCTTGTACAGTGCGGTCCTCGGGATCTCCAGCCGACTCGTCTAGCTGCTTAGGTAACTCCTTTGATCCGAACTCGGCAGCGTCATCACCAGTATGACCATCGAGTACAGCAAAGAAGCCTTCTTCATGAGTAGAACCCCAATCCAAGTCTATGCAGTGCGCATCTTCATGAGAGATCCTCCAACCCTGTAGAGTTGCGACACCGCATTGGAACTTGTCGTTGGCACGTCGTTGTAGATGGACGGCGGTAACGGGGTGAGACAGTAACCCACCCATTGCGTAAAATGTAGGAAAACACCACAAACCTTCCAAAGAAGAGAGTGTACTCAAATAAGTAACCACTGAAGTTCGCGAGACGAACCTTGAACTCAAGGCGTTGCCACGTGCTGAACAAAAAATCGATTACAATGGCGCGCGCTTCTGCACAATGTTCCAATGAGGACTTTTTCGAGATAGCAAGATGAGCTCAGCCAACGCTGAGCAGCGCCTCAGGTTTGACGCTGGGTCTCTACTCCGATCTCCATTGTATTGGCTAGAGGATAGCCGTCATCATGTCCATAGTACAACATGGTGTCGTTAGTGCGGCCTAAGCGCGCTCTACTCCATGTTGGTATCATTGTTTGCGTGTTTTTCTATGAACTTGTCTGCAGCGCTATTTTAAGCGTGCGAGTGAGAAACTTGAGCAAATCGGTACGCTGTGTCGTCTGCTGTCGGATTCCCACCACGTTTTGATCTATAACGTGGGGAATATCTTTGACCGCAGCGCGAAGAATTGGTGACTGTACTTGATTGTTGGTTTTGTAGTTGTCCTGGTACTGCAATATTCCCCATGGCTGATCTCGTTTACTTCAACATCGATGATGGTCTCGGAGAGGGTCTCGTAAGAGGTCTCCGTTCCGGCTTTCTCACAGCTGACGATTATCGTCGTATTGCTAATGGAGAAAATTTAGAGGGTAAGATTTGCTCTCCGCACTCGATGGAAGTACACTTACTATATCGTCAGATCTCCGAACAGCTCTCGAAGATACAGACTATGGCACTTTCCTTCAGGATGAGCCTAGTCCTCTACAGGTGAGCTACGCTGATGTTGTTTTCGATTCATTTGTCGACTTGCAGGCCTCCACGATTTTGCGCAAGTGCCATGAGCGCCTCGCTGAGGAGTTCGACTACGTCAGAGCTCAGTCGGTTGGCGAGATGGCTAAGTAGAAAACTAGACTCTACTTAGTTGTACTTATTACCGACTCTAGGTTCATGGATTATGTCCGTCAAGAAGCTATGATCGACAACGTGGTGATGCTCATTCAGGGTACCATAAACAACAAGAATCCTAAGGTAGAGGAGCTACTACCTTCCCAACCACTCTATACCATCATTCAGGATCTTCTTGCCCGATGCGATCCCCTCGGCTACTTTGAGGAAATGAAGACTATCCCCGGCATGGACTTCACCCACGGTTATGAAGACCTCTACCGTACCATCTTCATTGATACTCCTCTCGGACCGTAAGCTATACAAATACAATTCATAGGCTGCTGTTCATCGGTCCCCTTGTCAGCTACTTCGAAGAGTTCCTCAACTCCAAACAAGTTCACACTCACACTGAGGGTCAGGGCTCTGGTGCTCAAAGCGGTCCGAGCGGCGCTACTGCTGTTGTTCAACACGGTGAGGTCCATAACGTCCTCACTGAGACCGACCTTGAGATCCTTAGAAATGTACTTACATGGCTGGTAGAACTACTATGGTTTTTATTGCGTATTTGATCAGTTCTTGAAGAAGTGCTGGATGGAGAGTTTCTACCGTTTCTGCATGGACGGTAGTGAGAACAGCAATACTGCGGAGGTCATGGGTCACATCCTGAGGACCGAAGCTGATTACAGAGTAAGACGACTGGCTATGCTATTGGGTATTGCTGGTCTCATTGTAGGTTTTAATGGTCACTCTTAACGCCTTGAATTCGCCTCTTGGCACTGCTCAGAACTTGGATGAGCGTAACGCCCTTTATCCTAACTTTGGGTAAGTTGCGTCATCATTTGCCTTAATGGTTGAAATGTCCTCTACCTCGTCGCAGTTACTTGTATCCTGAGGGAACTGACAAGCTCATGAAGGCTACCTCTGACACTGCTGTTCGCGCTGCTTTAGAGCCCTACCTCAAGTAGGTTGAGCGAGGTCGATTTCGTTGAAAAGGAATTTGTGTTGTAGGTATGCTCAGCTGTATGATCAGTGCAAGCAGTTCTATGAGCACGACTCGAATGTCGATAAGACGGCTCAGGGTCGCTACAAGTCTATAGAAGATCTCTTGTACGTGGAGTCGGTACGCATGTTCGAGAACTCTTTCGAGCAACAGTATCACTATGGTATCATCTACGCTTGGGTAAAGCTGCGTATTCAAGAGATGAAGAACATTGAGTGGATGGCCAATATGGTAGCTTTATTCGTTGCTAGTATAGCCGAGCCACTTTCCTTGTGTTTAGATTGTCCTTAAGAAGAAGGAGCACGTTGAGGAAATTGTTCCTATATTCGCTCCTCGCGTGTAAAGAAGGCTTGTAGTAGTGGCAACAGCTGATGAGGATGATCATCCGCCATCCTCGATTCCATAGGGCTAGTTATGCTACCCTAGAGTTTTGTTCAACACTGCGTAGCTCCTCATTATCGTTATGATGATGCAGCGCAGCATAGTGGGATTGGTGTCTAGTGATACTTGAAGATTTCCAAGTAATATTCAGCAACCATTGTGTGATGTAGTCAATGATTAGTGTGGCGAGGATGGTAGTAGTAGTCGACTCCTCCTTATGAGAACAATCACAACTTTATTCGCCTCGTTGTGAAGCGTTGCGTGCATCAATCTGGGATGGTGATGTATACGTGACGAAGTTTTTTGTTTCTCGTCAATACAGGGTGGGGGAAAAGAAGATCGAGAAGAGCCCAGAAGCCCTAGTCGTGGCTGTGCATGACAGTCACACTGTGGAACAAGGCGTTGACAGATTAGAAAAGTGAGCGGATTGTGAATGCATTCGGTGAGGAAGAATTAAATCAGATTAATGAGGATACTAACAGCGGAAACAGTAAACTATCAAGACCAGTTTGGAAGGACACCTTTGATGGGTGTCGGCCGATGGGGAACACAAGCCCAAGTGAGTCGAAGTGCCAATGCATGCGTATTAGCTCTACCATAGGTGATGCAGTGCTTGGTGATGGGTGCTGATACAGCATTACGGGATCGAAATGGATTCAGTGTTATGCATTATATTGCGAGGCGGAAAGAGGAACCTCTCCCTCGACAGGTAGTTGATCGCTCGAAATCGTGCTCACTTGAAGAGCTCATTGTAGTAGTGTATTGACAATATGCGATGGGAAGTCTCTTTAGTGCTTGTTTTTCTCGGTCAACAGTGTGATAGTGAGCTTGGCAGTTGCCACAACGAGCCGTCTCACGCTGACGTCTAGTCTAAACATAAGTTTCAGTTCGAACAGCTTAATCGAGTTGTTAGCATTAGAGCTGATGCTGATCCGGATAGAAAATATGAGGCTTCAGATCGTCAACATGGTGGACTCTCTCATCACGGCAAATGCCGAGGCTATGTCACCCAGCAAGTTCGGAGAGACACCAATTCACCTGGCGGCTCGTGGCAGTACTCACTCAGCCGTGGCTCGAGAGCTCATCGAGAAAGTAAGGCTTATGAGTACGAATAGAAGAGACCTTGTGATGCGAGTCGATCAGCCAGGGAGGAGAGACTCCTAGGAGTGTCTTCATCCCTAGGGGGTCACTTGGTAGAATCTAACCTAGCGACTCTCATAGTTGACGTCGACTCGGCCCGGCGCGTTCTTCCCCCTATGCCCATAGATGTTTCTATAGCAAGCATCTATGTGGTATTGGGTCTTGTGATAGATACTGGGATGCACTGTGAAAATATCAAAGCGCCTTAAAGATTCACCTCGTCCCATTATTTACGTCCCCTTGATGGCGCGAGTGTCGAACAGTTCACATGCTCTACGGGACCTCATCCAGAGAGCTTTCTATAAGCGGGTCTATCCAGCAGTAGCGGTGGAACAAGCACTCGGCGAGGGCGCTGATATCAACATTCAAGATCCCTATGGGCGGACGGCTGTACTGTTGTGTGCACGATATGGTACGGCAGACCTTGTGGTGTGCATTCGAGCTTAGTTCGCAGGTTCACGTGATCACCTAAAGAAACTAATAGAGGAGCACCATGCGGAAGCTTTACAGTGTGATAGCCTCGGAAATACGGCCTTGCATTACTGCGTTCGTCCTCGCTCGAAAAAAGGAATGGGCCCGGTACAGCAGCAAAAACTTATGATAGAGTAAGTCTTCGCGTCCTTGCTCTCCTCTATTGATTTTGAGGTACTTGATTGAACGCGGAGTGTCGGCTAGCAAACCGAATAAAGCGGGAGAGTCTGCAATGTGGCAAGCGGGGAATTGTTGTCGTAACATGAAGAACCTTTTTGAATTCATTCTTGAAGCGACGGATAACTTTACTAATGCTCATTAACTAGAACTTGCATGTTCTGTCCTTTGTGACGTCAACTTATATCACGGTTGTCCAAAGTTGTTATTTATGATCTCAAGTTGAGAAGTATTACCAATTTGCTGATATTTATTCTGTAACTTCTGATAGTGCCCTGTTTTACCGATATAAGGGAGATTGTTACTACTTCCTACTCACCAGTTGGAATGTGCACGCGTGCGCAGTGCACACGCGTCTCAAGTTACACCCATTTAGAGGGGCCATGACCATTTACCGTCGCTCAGTAACACAAGCTTCCTCCCACTCGATGAGGAGCTGCAGACACTTATGATGAGAGTTATAAATGTTCCCATTTTTGCTGAGGGCTTAGCCGTACTTTAAACCATCAGCGAGATGCGCGGACATTGATTGTGTCAGATGTCCCTATCGATGACCCTCTTTTTGCGTCATTTCAGTCATGCTACTACGCTGAGCGAAAGGTTCTTGTTATCTCCTGTAAAGCCAGAAACAGGGCCTAGGATCTCACCATACAGCTTAGAGGCTCTCTATCAATGGTGTTTTCGTAGTAGGCAAGGTAAGGGTTTCTTGTCGCCCACCGCGAACGATTCTCGGAGACCGGTATGGTGGGTTCATGGACCGGCCAACATTTGTATCCCGTGTGTTGCCGTTGTGACTTCCTATAGCTCTCGTTTGTGTCTCCTTGAACTTTCCGCATGATCAGTTTCGCCTCGGCCTGCGGCTGTGAACTTCATTTGCATCCCACCTTCTCAGTCCATGGTGGAGATAATCAGCTCACACAGTAGGAACAGGCCGAATAGTATAATGATCGACTTCGATGTTCATGGTCAAAGAAAGATCCCAAGTCGACGTGTCAACGTGGAGAGACCGATTAGAGCATTCATCCTTGTGCTACAGCGTGTAGCACAAAAATGAATGCTGACCTGAACTGATACGGAGCTGAAACTCCTTACCACCAATGGCATGCGTGCTCAGTGAATTGCTGAATCTGATCGGATCAGAATTTCCCTGTGTCAGTGCGCCTCCTAGTCTCGTGATACATGAAGTATTTGTCATGATTTGTCAGATCCGAATGCTGTCGCTTTCTCACAGCCTCGGTGGGATCGTTGTAAACAGTGCCAGAGTGAAGGAAATGAATGTGCTTACATTCATGTCTCATTATTAATAACAGTAAGTTCATTCTTGTTCAGAGGTTGTGAGAGCAATTAGTTCTTCTCAATTGGTTTGCAAGTCGCTTCCGAGGAGGCTACTGCTAGGAGACCTCGGAATCCGAGGTTAGGATTGGCGCTGTTTAGAGGAACTCTCACAACCCAACAAAATATCGATGAAGTAATCATTAACGAAATCAGATGGGAAAAGACAAAACCTGCTCGGTCTGCAACGGCGTTACATCCGTGAGTCACGGACCGTGACTACAGAGGGCGAGGGCCATAACTCTATTTCTCACGCTCGCGAATAGAGGGAAGTACCAGACGCTCGTGACACAGATGTAGTAGACTTAAATATGATGCGGGGAGCTGCAGGCGAGCTGGACCAACACGGTTGCGAATCATATTCGGAGCTAAAGACCGAGTCTTTACACCACAATATACTCGACTTGTACCGTATGGGAAACACAGTAGGAGCAAACCGAATACAATAGTGATGGATTTAGGGACAATCATGGTAGGAGAGAGACCTGAAGTCGACGTGTCAAGATAGAAAGACCGATCAACGAAGTGACGCAATGTTCAAAAAAGTGGACTTGCAGAACGGAAAAGTGATTGGTTTTTTTAACACATATCAGAAATCCTCGGCAGCCACTCATCTGTTCGAAGACTAGATGTTCTTTCTCAAGCGAGTAGCCGGCGAGCCCAGAGCTGCTTGGACTGCTTTGGAGGCATCGATCACCCCGATATCAGATACCTCAAGCCAATTTGGTAAACCATCGGTCCGAGACTTGATAAGAATGTCCGTTATTTCTTGGCTCTCTAGACCGAGCGTACCCAGCAAAGCCGCTACACCGGCGGTCGTAGGAGTTGACATCGATGTACCACTCATATAACCATAGGACCCGCCCGGTAAAGTTGAATAAACATCAATACCGGGTGCGGCAATCTTTGTTGCAAAACCAGCATTCGAGAAAGGGGCCATAATGACGACTTCGGTGGGGTCAGAGGTACTGGCCGCCACACAGAGCATTGATGGTATTTCGTTCGCATAAGTGCATGGAAAGGTTGGATGAATAGCCAAATTGACCCTCTCATTTCCAGCTGCAGTCACAGCCATATGCCCAGCAGCAGCGGCGTTCGTGAATGCGGCCCTCATTATTTCACTGTCGGTATACCACCTGTAGGAGTGAGAGGAGAATGCTGCCCCGTTTTCGACGGCGAAGTTGATGGCCCTCGCTGCGTCACTCATAAAGCCGTTTCCTGTGTCATCAAGCATCTTGAGTATCATCAGCTTCACATTGGGTACTGATCCATTGATATTGGCCACTCCTGCAATGCCAATGTTATTATCAGTCTGAGCGGCAGAGTTGCCAGCACAGTGAGTACCGTGGCTGTGTCTATCAGTCACATCAATACTGTTGGTTATGAAGTTGTAACCGATGGAGTTGTCAGCTGGGTTCCTCCAAAATTGATTAACCAGGTCAGGATGAGTCATGTCAACACCAGTGTCGCTGATGGCCAACACGACATCCTTCAGCTTCCGTCCGGCTGAGCGAGCCGCTTCCCAGGCAGCCGCTAAATGGATAAGCTCGAGGTTAGGCTGGCAGGATGAGGCGGGGTCGTTTGTGCCGAGAACAGAATTGCCACCAGTGCAAGTTGCCATGTCCGCCGCGAGGATCGGATGCAGTGTGACCCTCGAGTCGGGCTCGCAATCGAAGTCGATGCTCAGCATATTTTTAGCTCTCCTCAAGTAGTTTAAAATTTGGCTGTGACCAACCGGGCATCTGGAGTCCACAATTTGTATGCCTATCGCCTTCAAGTCATAGACCATATCATCTTGTGCGAAGCATCGTTCACAATCATGGTCGTCTTGACTGAGAGATTCCACCAATCCACCTGAGGCCGCGAGAGTCTGTGTCATAATTCTTGATACATGACGGATGTCGAGTGGGACTCCACGATGGGATACCCTCAGCAGTGTGCGATTAGTAGTGCTCTCACCGAAGGCGATAGTACCGGCGAAGAAAGCCCACAAGAAGGCCAAGCGCTTAGGCATGAGGCTGTTGAACATCTGCAGAAGAAACGAGACTGCTCTTTTGGGTTAAGGATTAGTCTCTCCAGCGCTCAATCGAAGGAAACCTTAAGCAAAAGGTGAACATTAGGGAGTAATGATCAACTCAGTTATACGAGGAATTGTGGCCGGTCCTGCAGCTGCCGCTGTACTCGCACGCATGTACCGAAGCCCCTTTGCATTTTGTCTTCCTTCTGGTTGTGCATATCGTCAATTACTTCCATACCATTGGCGAATTACACTCCGTGCCATCGTCAACTCGTATCTCCAAAGTTCTAGCAGAGCAGGATTTGCTCCGAATGATCTTCACCACTCGCGATCAGAGATATAGCCTGAATACTCCTATCTTGTCCCTCCTGATTCTTCCAATCGCCACTCCCCGATACATGACTCATACAAGTCTTTTTCCTGGCTTTAGCTTCTACCTTTTACCGCTCGCCCCGTAGCTTGACGTGAGCTTCGCGAGTAACGCTGTTCTGCGGCAGAACTTCTGCCATTGTTAGAGTTGTTAGAGTAAAGCCGACACGCTTCGGCGCGCCAATGTATATGCGTACGCATCATGTCGATCCATCGCTGATCGTTGACCCCTTATCCCCATATATTGGTCTATACCGATCCATTCTGTTTTTCAGCTTCAATAACGGGCTGGTTCCTGTATCACGGGTGCTCTACAACTCCCTCAGCAGCCATCTAGATAAATCTCTTTAATTACGGTTCACGAAATCCTTAAGGACTGGTTCACGAAGAGATACACACTGTCTACCAGACAGAGTAATGGTTAAGAAAAGGAACATAAGGAGGGCTGTAGCACAAGAATGAATGCTGATCCCAACTGATACGAAAGTGAACCTTCTCACCACTGACGGTATGCGGGCTCAATGAATTCCTGAATCTGATGAAATCAGAACTTCACTGTGGCCGTGTCCCTTCTAGCCCCATGCTCCACCGAACGTACCCTGCATGCACGGCCATCTATCCAAAGTGTCCCCGTGACATGCATGTCAGCCTCAACACCCGTTCAAGCATGTTAAGGCACAACGGGTCCCGTTGTGAATCCTTTGCCGGCATCTCTGGCAGAGATTCTCTGCCCTCAAGTGGAGTTGACGCTGGTGGCAGCGAAGTAGATTTCTGCATTCTCTGGAGATCTGCGATCAATATCGCCGACAAATGATATCGTTTTGCCTTGCGCTTCAGCGGATGATTGTGGCTAGGGATGTCAAATGCACCATACCGTGGGAGGGCATATCCCGATGCCACCCCGAGGGGTGGCATAGCTGCCCCGACCAGAGAAATTTGTCGTGCTGAAGCATATCTTGGAGTGGCATAGCTGCCCCGCGCGGAGTAATTGACTCTACTAAGTCTTACCTTGGGATGGCATAGCTGCACCGCCCGCAAGAAACGATTGTACTCAGGCATATCTTCGATGGCGTAGCTGTCCCGCTCAATCGGAATCGGCTCTAGCAATCGGACGATCCGAGGGTTGTGTCCCTCACCAACGGTGTCAGTTTAGAATTAGTCAGAATTAGAGGCCCTCGGTCTATCGGCAGCCTCTAGTTCGCGTTGAACTAGAGGCGCTAGTTCAGAACTAGTTCAGAAACCAGACCGAGTATCTCTGTCTTCTTGCCCTATCTACAGGGCGGCCACAACAGATCGGTTTGAGCCCATGCGCGGTGTAATTGCCAGTTGACGCCTTAGGGGACGATGGGGTATGAGTCGAGCCCACATAACTATGATGATGTTATCCTTCGGTGCATGATAATGGTTTAAGTTCATTTGTCTGTTGGTGGTGAATGCGGGGACTCACTCGGGTCACTTTTAATGCCGCTCCCCTTCACTCAACGACGGATTTTTCGCAATTATATTCCTGACTATCTATGTCGTCACTCTCACTCTATCTCCACGTCGACTTGTGATTTCTATGGGGTCCCCATAATGGGGACAAGGCTGATCTCTTTAAGAGGATGCTTTTCCGACCAAGTACAGATTAATCCAATGGCGTGGATGCAGAAAATGCTCGAGTCACGTGTTAAGGATCGGTCTAGTTGTGAGCGATACCCCCGAACTGCTGATGAACACAGGTTCCCAAGACAAAGACGAAACCTGCTCTTATCTTAAGGAGCACAGTGCGAGACACGTTCTTAGCTATGCACTACGCTATGCATGAAAGGCGCATAATCGCGCCGTCTACTACAGGTGTCTCTCTGTGGTACTTCAACCTCGCCCCCCTGTTCATCACAGGTAGAGCGGAGGGACTATCGACTAGAAAACGAATCATGATTTACCAATATAAGGACAAATAAGGACTAACATCTACGTAGATGACATAATGATTTACTCTTTAGGATATCCATCACTGTCGAAACTAGTCTCTCGCGGGTTACCACCCGGAATAAACCGTACGGGAACATGGCGATGACGTAACGTTCTCGTCGAACCATGTACTTCTGGTGCACCTTCTGGTCGGAGCTCCGCCTGCCGATTCGGATCTGGTTGGACTCCGTCAGATACGGGGTCGTTGCGCACCGACGCGGAGCTGACAGAGTGAGACGATATAGTAAGGTCACCAGAATGGTCAGAACCATTGTCTTCATCAATGATCTCAGGACATTCCTCGGTGTGGGCGGAGATGATCCGATCATTGGCAACATTCAAGAGTTGGACCGATGGGTCGGCAACTCTTTCCAAAGTAGAAGCATGAGTAGACGAAGTGACAACGCGGTGATTGGAAGGCATAAAGCGCTCACCGGCACGTCGTTCATGTGGAGGTTTCAATACCCATACTTGCTGACCGACGTTGAAGGGAACTTCCCCTTCTGGCGGAGGAACGGCCACGGGTTGTTCGGCTCCGGTACGTAGTTGTCGCCCTAGGAACCTCTCCGTGGGGGCTTCTCCCGTAGCGCTATGTGGAGTACTGTTGTAGGCTTCTAGGCACTGTTGTAGCTTGTCCACCAGCGGCAGCGTCGAAGGTAGATACATAAGTTTAGTTTTAAGGGTACGGTTCAACCTCTCCACGCATGCGTTAGCAGTTGGTCTATGGCCACTAGTTGCGACCAATGTGACCCCTCGTCGTCGAAGTCGAGAACGGAGTGAAAGAAAACCCGTTCCACGATCACACCGAAGATACACGGGCCACCCCAGCAAAGATGTTGTGAAGATTGAGCATAAGGCCGTCCAGATATTCTCCCCTGACTCGCTCCTTATTGGTTGAGCCGTTGCATATCGGCTGTACTCATCAACAGTGACCAATATAGGTTGACCAAGATAATAGGTAACATCTGCAGCCACCATTTCCCACGGGAACGTAGCCAATCTTCTGGGGGCAGCCGTGTTTAGTGGAGTCTTCTTGGCTCGTTCGCGGAGACAGCGCTCATCCTGACACCCTTGGAGAGCGGAGTGAACGGAGGAAGCCAAGTTTGGTACATAAAATACCCGCTTCAGAACTTTTGTGACAGCTTTCTCGCCTGCATGTACTAACGACGTGTGGAGTTTCAGAATCACATCTTTGTGCAGGCACTCTGGTAGGACTGGCAGACCGTCTTTCTTCTCTAGCTCCGCCAACGGATCGACTCCTTGAGCTCGCCTCAGCTCGGAGTTTGATGGCCACCAAGCCTGTCTCTCGCCCCCCAGCCGTGGAACGAAGGCGACAAGCTTGTGGGCATCGTTCTCCGCACAGTAGGGGTTGATGTTGAAATCCACCCGGGTAACTGTGTCGGCTAAGTTGTCACACGAACGGACTTGGACGATTGTCAAGTGGAGGCGGTATTGATCCAATAGTGACCTTAGTATATCCAAACGACGAGTAACCAGGAGCTTATAGAGCCCATTGACATGTATTCGTTGTTTATCAACCAACGACTGCAACCAATGCGTCGCAGCTGTAGAGTCACAACACAGAGTAGCCTTGGTATAACCGAACTTTATTAATAGTTCGATTCCCTTGATACAAGCCTCTAACTCGCCACAGTTGATATGAGTTGAGGTACGGATAGACTCTTTATCAGGTGCTCGTAAAGCTGTGAAGTCGAGAAATACATCACCTCGTTCGTTTGCCAATGTAAGGCCAATGGCAATGTCCGAGCAATCAACGTAGCAATAAACAACTTCTTCGCTCGATGGTAATTGCCAAGGTCCTCGCGCTGGATCGCCGCGATCTCGAAGTTGGTTGGCCAACTGGATACAATATGCCAAGACATTAGGGGCCGGAGCCTCATTCCAGCGCGAGTAGTCGGAACCAATAGAGCGACCCAGGAGTCGCTTACCGATAGCTACTGATGGTCGTAGCCATCGCAGTACCGGTTGATGAGACGCCAACGTACCTAGCCATGAAGAGATATCTCGGGCCGTGATATCAAGTGGCTCTTGAGATAAACGTTGCTCGAAGGCTAACAGATCAGACAGGGAAACTCGCCGTTTCCAATATAAACGGCCATCCTCCCCTCGAAAGATCGCAAGACCAAGTAGCCGGGCGTGATCCAAGACTACGGGATCCTTCGTGAGTAGTTGATTCTTGGACAAAATGGTACGTATCACTTCGACATTTTGGTATACTTGCTCTGGGGGTGCCTTCTCATCTTCCGGTACCAGAATATCATCAAAGTACTTGTAGTGCTCGGGGACCGAGTCTCGCAGGTGAGACTCATGACTTTCGTCTCGACAAGAAGACGAATGGAACGATGGAAGAGTGGGTGATGTTGATGGCAGAGGCAACAGCATATCAGCATCCGTGGACTTGTCCGGGCCCAGCGTGTAGTCTAGCACACATTTTAAAATTCGAGGCGCTGATGAGTTACCGAAACCAAGACGCAACAAGCGGTACAGAACGCCGGACTGACGGTGTCCTTTGAGTCGGAGGTAGAGACACTGGTACCAAGTAAGGGGCTCCGACAGATGAAGGGACGGGTAGGCCTTTGAGATGTCGATAACTAGGCCTTTTTGGAAGCGCCTCCAGACTCTTAGAGAGTCAGGACAACTAGACGCTGCCGGATCTGCTACCTTAACCGATAACGAATTGATTTTTTGAAAGTTTAATGTCGGACGGGCTTTGGTGGTGCGATGGGGAGTTAGGACCGGCACCACCGGTAGAACCGCACGCACCTTGTGTATCTCGTCCTCGCCAACTTTAACCAACCAGCCACGGCTCTCCCAATCTTTCAGCTCTGTTACGAGGTCATCGTACTCGTTATCCGTTAGCGAGTCGAGTAGACGCGGTAGTTCTTGAGGACCGGTAACATAGGGGGTTCAGTAGCCGACCCACTCGGCTGTTGTTTCCACTTCCATCCCACAACCCATTTATAGGTCTCATCGTCACCCGTGTTATTGGGAAGTACTAGTTCTCGGCGTGCCCAACAATCTGGAGCATCTAGGACGACGGATGCTATCCTCGTCCCGATTCGCTCTTCAGTGACATCACATGATGGTAGTCTGAAGGTGACACTTGTGGAGAACGATGTCGCCGATGATCCTAGAGCACCGAGTAGGGTTTGAGGCCTTCCCTCGCTGTCGACATTAAGCGTCAAGCGAGACAGAGTCTCACGGAAATAATCATAACC